GAAAAGAATACAAATGCATATAACTTGTAAGAAAAGAACAAAACTCATTCTTGGCATATGAACATACATAGAAAACAATTTTATGGTATACTCAGTTTCCTCTTTCATAGAAATACCTCCACAAATTATTAAAAGCATTTTAAAGAAAAATACCTCCAAATACAAGAAAAGTCCTTTATTAATATTTTAATGTTATGTAATGCATAATATTTAATTTTTAAAAAGAGGCATCTTAAAAACAGGTATTTAATAAAAAAATGTAAAGAATCAAAATTTGTATTTCTAAATTAAAGCAGCAGATAAAAAAAAATAAAAAATTATTCTGAAAATATTTAGTTTACTTCCCTAGGCATAATTAAAAGCATTTTACACATACACATACACACACACACACACACACACACAAAAAAAAAAAAAAAAAAAAAAAAAAAACTTTTAAAAATACAAATTTTAAAAAATTCTTCATTAATACTTTAATGTTATACATTGCATAATATCAAAATTTCACAAAACAGGAATACAAACTGATTATTTAGTATAAAACCCTTTGATCAATCACTGATATTCTTAACAAATATATGCAGAATGTTCTAAAATTATATTCGCAAATTTCATGCTGAGTAAAACTTAAATAAGAAAGTAAAATTCTATGTCTTGTAATAGTAGCTTTGAAGAATTTTATTTATAATCAAAGCATATTTGTTTGCCTTGAGAAGTAATCCTTACCTAGCCCTAACATGAGATAGTTGCTTCAGAGGAAAAGGCCAAGTGTGTGACAAGGTTCATGCAGATAATGTTAGACTCATAAATACAAAATAATCTTTATGTGAAGTACCAATGAAATTTATAATGCAAACTTAATATATGAATTGCATAAACACTTTATAAGAACTGACAGCATGCATCAAAAAATGAGCAATGGGACAGTAAAGTGCAGATGAAGAGGATAGAAAGTAAGTTTGTCAGATTTCTCAGTAAAACCTATATAACTACTAAAACTATACTTTGAAAATATCAGTTGATTTGCAACTACATCATTAGTCTTCTGGATCCCAGTACTTTTGATATGCACACTTAAAACAACTTAGTATAGAGCACAAGATCGGATAAATACCATTCAGTAGCTGTCCAAAGTTATCAAAACAGCAAGCAGAAGAGTTTCTTGATATCAAGACTGGCTTCCTTCTCGATATCAAAACGGGCAAAATGCAGCAACAGCTGATTTATAAGGAAAGCAAGGAATAACAAGCAATTGATCAAGGTGGCCTGCCTATGCCCTTCCTGAAGCAATCATCTAAATCAAAAATCATCATTCCAAATCAAGAATCCTCTTAATTATGGACAAATATTTCCACGACTGTAGCACCTCTAATAATATTACAAGCAGTTAAGAGATAAATGACTGTGCAGCTGACTACCTACATCATTAATGAAGCACTATCACTTCACATGCATAGCTTATGATGTCTACATATTGAAGACTCTGGATGGTGCAATTCTTCAGTAAATACTGGAGAACGTATGGAAATTCCCATGGACTTGTCTACATCTTTCCATGAAAAATGTTTTACACTTGGATTTTATCTGTGGAGTATAGTCACCACAGTTTATAGATCAATTATGGGTTATGTATCCTTTAATTACAAATAAAAATTTATGAATTGTCATGATATGTACCAAAAAAGAAAAAAAAAACAGAACAGCCACAGCAGCATTCTATCTCCAAATTCTCCTTGAATGTCAAAGTTATGTAACTCATTGATCAGGCGGTTAAAAGCTCGGATATGGCAAGAAATAGACAGAAATTGTACTATGATAGAAAAAGCCCTGAAGCAGATTTTAAAGTTGGGAATAAAGTGTTGAAGCGGAAATTTTCTTTATCAAGTGCCCCAGACAATTTTACTGCAAAGTTAGCTCCAAAATTTGAAGGCCCCTATGTAATTCAGGAAATCAAGGGAGTCGTATTGTACCTTAAGAACCAGAGAGGGGAAATCTGTAAAGTAAGTCCCGACCAGGTGAAAAAATATTATAATCAAAATGATTTTGAAATCCTTAAAAGTTTCTTGCAAGACTCAAGCGCAAAAGAAGTGGAAGGTCCAGAAGTAACGTCACCCGCTCCACCACCCAAGAAGCAGAGAACAGAAGAGGAACCTAGCCCTTCTACAAGTCATGCGATGGTCCCGAAAAGAAGAAAGGAAAATGTTCAGACTCCAGCATTTAAGAAATACAAGAAAGCAAAGCCGGCGTGTAAAGAATCTTTGGTAAAGAGGAAAAGGCCAGTTACAACGTATCGCAGTAGAAATTCTGCGTCGAGGAAAACACTTCCTTCCAGGGTCAGATAGTCAGGAACGTACAAGGCCGCCGTTCACGAGAACAAAAAGACAGCAGGAGGAACGAAAAGACCACCACCAACAGAAGAAATTCAAGCACGATTCCAGACCGGAGGCCGCCAAGACCAGCCATCTAGGGGCAAAACGGAAAAGAAAAGAACCCGACAACTACTACTCCAAGAGGCCGGCGTACAGAGGGCGAAAAAGAAAAATCACCATGGACGAAACTCGAAGAACACAAAGGAGACGACTGACTTCTATGACCTCCATAACATGGGAGCTGTTCTGCCGGAAGAGGATGTCGGAGTTCCAATCATCGAAAACTCAAAGATAAGTTAAAATCTTCTATAAATTTTTCTTTTGTTCTGAAATGTTATGCGTAAATACGAAGTCCTATGTTTTGACAGAAGTCAGTTTGTCTCGGTTGAGACTTAGTTTTGTTTTACTTTATTTAGCTAAGGCAAAAGTATTATTTTCTTTAAGTATAAAATCTAAGAACAAGCAGTTTCTGTTGGTCGAAAGACTAATTCTGTTATGTTAAAGCCAAAATTGGGCCGAAAGTAAAATAACTTCGTATTCTTGTATTAATGAGAACTTTAGTTTCAGTGCCGCCAGCTTGGCGAAGAATGCGTGAAGTAAAATTTTATTTTTATCTTATTCATTTTATGGTAAAGTGTAAAAATCATATGTATTAGAATTTTGTAAATATACGTAAATACTTGAAAGTTATGTAAAAGTAGAATTTAGTCTAGAAGCATAAAATTTTAGATGCTAAAAGTAAATACTCGAAAGAAATGAATTCAAATTTAAGTATTAAACTGTAGATAAAATCATGCTTTAGAGCGAAAGCCTGCATGTCTAAAGATGAATGAGGGGGAATTTAGAATGAATGTGTTTTGTAGGGTTCTCCACCTACACTTGAATTTTAAGAATGTTAAAAATAGCTCATCGAGTTTCAGTATGTCGATTAAGGTGTGTCTATTTGGTTCTTGAATTCTAACCAATCATTGTGGTTACGGGAAGTGTAACAATACTAAAACACGAATATTCCCGTTTGACACCACACATGGTGGAGAACCAGGTAAAGTTAAATTCATGTTTGAATACTTGAATGAATGTGAATTAAGCAGTTAATTAAGGAAAATAAAACGATCAAAAACAAAAACTTTATCCAGTGTTAAGAAAGTGTAAATTATAATGTATTTAAAAGATACTGATACTTATTCCTTCCAGATGCTGGAAGGAAGAGAACAGATTGATTGCTGAAGTCCAGGAAAGGTTCCTGTAAGAAGAGATGGTAAAATGATTATCTACAGAAATTTATTCTAATTTTTGAGAAAACAGTTTGTTTTATGTAAACAAGACTCTTGAATTTTAGTTCAGAATATGGAAACTTTTCAACAGGTCGTTTCTAGGACCTGCTTCCAAGTTTACTAAATTCTGGCAGCGGCAAATGTAGGGTTTATATTTATTTTAACTAACATTTATTTTAAGCTATCTTTCCTGTCAAGCCTTACTTTCCCCTGGAATTGCCAATGCCAGAGTATGTAAATTTTAGTAGAACGCGCAAAGTATTCAAATTTTTAGCAGAAGTATTTTGAGTTAAATAGAAGGGAAACGAGTTTGTAGTGTGCTGCTTTCTTGATTCACGAGCGTGAAGGTTGCTAGGTAGAAATTTAAGAACCGCACGTTTCGGCCTGTGTGCTTGCTTCGGCCGTTAGTTGAATCTTTCAACTTTTTATTCAGAAAGTTTGCTGAAATCTCAGCTGTATCTTAGAACGCGGTTAAGTTAGTGACGTTTAGACAGCCTTGTAGGTAGTGACTTGTTATTATTCATTTTTAGTTGTAATTTCTTATTTTTATTTAACCGCTGGGTCGGCGTAGTTTGTGAGTGTCAAGTGAACACATCTGTAACTTCTAAAGTGGAATAAAAAGGGAATTAAACCCTTCTTAAGAGTTTGTGTACTTTCCAGTTCATAGCAGTCACTACTATTGTTGCGGGCAAGTTGGGGCCGCGCAACACCACAATGTGTTTTGCGATTTTTAATTGTTTGATAGCATTTAAAGCTCTTATATTATGAACATTAGGAGAAAAGCATAGCAAACCTAGTTTTACAAACAAATTCATATTAACATATAACATAATGAACAAATGGTTGTTCAGAACAGAATTCATTCATTAGGTGGGGAATGTCTGTTATGTTTTGTTGCTTCATTATGTTAAAAAAATTTGGGGAGTTTAATAAGTTTTTATCGAAGAGAGAACTGATTATAGAAATGGCTACTAATCTCAGCCATGATCTAAATCTACCAAGTGAGACTTTACAAAAAGAAATTAATCATCAAACAAAAATAGGGAAACTGACTGCAATCTTATTTCATTTAAGTTTTATGAATGACAAAAAAGTTATTAATAATTTTAGAATAATCTATGTATCTGATAGTTACAAAATGAAAAATTACAGTTTTGGAACTTAACCATCTCACTTCTTTGTTTTTGTACAACAGAAATTGGTATAACATGACCTTTTTTTAATAATTTAACAATTGTATTGAATAAGGAGAGAAAAACTGGTAAAAAATTTAAGCATAGCAACAATCATTTTGATCATAAATGACTTAAACTACATCGCACTGTGACTGTTTTGCAGAGATAAATATTCTACTCACTTTATGTAAGTTATATCCTGATTCATACATAATAGGTGGCAATAACACAAGGAAAAATGTAGTGGGATTAAAAGCTTCTTCTTTCTGCATGTAGAAAATAAAACATAAGTACCACAAAAGAGAAATATAGAATAAGAATAGAAAATACACAAAAATTCAAAACTTAAAAAATTAATTTAAAAATAATAACTAATTAAAAAGCAGACTCTTATTATTATTTCATGAATAAATCATGTAACGTTAGATATTATGCTATACATTATTAATGATTTAAAATATCTAAATCTTTAGCATATGGAAATAATAATCCTGAAAATAACATCCAGCAGATTTTAATTCCAGAAATGTTTCTAATATTTTTAATTCAGAATACTGAAATTCCTTTTAAAAAAACATTGATAAATTCTATTTTGTAATCCAATTCTAATACTGACATTATATAATAAAACTGAACACATTTAAAAAATAATTTTTATATTAACTATAAGAAAGTAAAATTCAATTTAAGATTTCACAAACTACTTTACAATCATTTCATATTTACTATTACATCTTTACTTAACACTGGCTATCATCAGTTGCAATGAGTCACATATTCTTGGTGATAATTTTTTGGTGCCACGATTTTTTTATTTTTGGGGGGAGAGGGGTTACAAAATGTCTCCAGTAACATATGTTTATTCTTGTCTAATGTTGCATCAAATATTTTTCCCAACATTCCATAAATATTATTGAATTGTCAGTCCCACTGTCCATAATTACCTTCACTAAAATTTCTGCAGTTTTACTTTCAGACATTTTCCCCTTCCCCACCCCACCCCAAAAAAAATACTTGCTTGTTTTAACCCATTAACCACCAAAACTATAAGGAATGTTTCTTTTCTCATGAAAATAATAACAAATATTAAATTAAGCATTTATAACATAAATTTACATTGAAAATTTAAAAAATGCTCTTACCTGTGGAAAAAGCGAATGTTGCGTTCGTGCAACGTCAGCAGAATAAGACTACGGATGTTTAGCGAGTAGGATTGTACTCGTGTGATGTTTCTTTTTGAGTGGAGTGCAGGATTACTTTTTAGCTGTATAACGTTTTATAAATCTACAAATCACTTTACTTGTAATTAATTTAATATTAAAATATACATTGTATTTCTTTTATAAATACAGATTATTGCAATTGAAAGATTTAAGCATGAAAAGCTTGATTACAGTCATGATGTAAAGCTACATTACATACTTTGCATCTATAAACAATCTGGCTATGGTACTCTTTACAAAAAAGTCTTTTATTATCAACAGACTTTACGATAAAATGTCTACCATCTCCATGCAATGGTTTTTGAATGCTGAATTTACTAGTCTTCCTGTTGCTGATCTATTTCTGGCTAATTCTACACTCTCAATAGGCGTTTTCAAAAGGAATAATGCATTCTCGCATCTGAAATCTAAAAGAGACTTTTATATTTCTAGTAGTAAAAAGTGGTGATATTTAGTAAGTTTAGATATGGTCTCACCTCACATAATTTATCAGTATTGTCAAATGCAAATTCTGCTTCATATTCCTGTACTGCAAATGTGATATCGATTCTCGTACAACAGGAACAGAAATGTCCTTATCAAAAGACCAATACATTTTTTCCTTGAAGTAAAGAATGATATCCTGTAAGCAATAATATTCCGATAAATCAAGATCCGATAAATCCGTATAGGCTTCAGATGCAATAAATTCTGGGCAGTTTTCTTTTTGCTGAGCATATATATTTATCTGTTCAACGAGAAGAGAGTAAATGTCTAAACCAAAAAGAAAATCAAAAATCTGTGTACTAGTTTTACCTTGTATTTTGTCTTTTATAATTTCTCTTCTATCTCTTTCTTCATGTTCTTCCTGAGACATAACTAACAGCTTCCATTTTTATCCTACTTCAAGATTTCAGTATTTCTGCTTTTTAAACTTTTTAGTATGACTATAACTGCTTTTAGAAGGCTTATGAAACTTACTTCTTCACATGAATTTCAACTTCCCCAGCAATATCATTTGGTTAAATATCATTATCATTATTTAAAATATTGCCATTCCTTTCTTCTTCGTCACTAGCTTCTGCAATTTTGGGGGAAACAACAACAATATCATTCATTCTGGTCATTATTAACAATAACATCATCTGTTTCTTCATCAAAAAATCTTTGAAGGGCTTCTTCTAATGTAAAATACCTCGTTATAGGCATTTTTAAACAACCAGAACATCAAAAGAAAGGAGTGAAAAAGGAGATTGACTACCCGTTTCCTGCAACATCTGTTTTCACTTCCTTCCCAACACAAATATAAACATCTGACTGATGTAATGTTCTGATAAACGGTGACCTTGACTAAAAATAGATCACTCATAAAGACGGCGATTCTTTCGTTAAATATTTTCAGCAAAAATACCCGGTCAGAAATTTTGCTTAAAGTATGAGATTAATTATTATAAAAAAAATAATGTTTGAAGGCAAATATTTTTTACAGAAATAATCTTCATAATATTCCCTACACAAAATCATCTGCTGGTATAAAATATCTTAGATTGTTATATTTATATACGCATTTATTTTGCCCGTTACGTCAACGCAACACCAGCGGCTAATGGGTTAAGACAAATGCCATCAACTATCTACAGTTTGTGTAATAGCTTTCCAGCATGGTTTTTCTATTTTGCTCAACAAAAATGTAATATATATATATACTCCATAACAAAAAAAAATCGACACTTTAAAAGAAGTTGTCCAATGGAGACAAAAATTGGTGGATAGGAAGATTATGTACAGAAAAAAAAAATTATTAATATTTCAGAATAATTGAATGATTTATTTCAGAGTTACATAGTTACAAAGTAATGAGCTCAATAAGGTGTTGACCCAGCTCTAGCCTGGATGCAAGCTGCCACATGGTGTGGCATAGACTGATAAAGCTCCCGGATGGTCTCCTGCAATAGTTCTTGACAAATTTGCTCCAACTGTCAAGCTAGGTCATCAACATTCCCTGGTAGATGCAGTCCCCTTCCCATCACAATCTAGACATGCTCGATGGGAGAGAAATCTGGCTGGCCAAGGAAGTGTTTGACAAGCTGTAAGACAGTTCATAGCAACACGTGCCGTATGTAGTCTGGCATTATCTTGCTGAAAAATAACGCCTGGGTACTACAAAAGGAATGGTAGCAAAACACATCTCGGAATCTCGTCAACGTATTGTAGTGCTGTAATTGTGCCTCTAATGATGGCCAAAGAGTCCAGCTATCAAGAGAAATGGCACCCCAGACCATAACTCTTGGTTGAAGACCTGTGTGGCGTGAAATAGTGAAAGCAGGATCAGCACGCTGCCCTCAGCATCTCCAGACACATCTTCGATGATCATCACAACACAGTTGGAAGCGGGATTCGTTGCTAAAGACCATACGTACTCAGTCAGCATCATTCCAAACTGATCGAGCCAAGCACCACTGTAATCTGTCTCGACAGTGTGCACGCATGAGTGGCAGGTGGCACAACGGTCAGTATGAGCTTAAATTTCGCTCTATCAGCCGTCTGTGAATGGGTCAAGATGGACACTTGTGTGCGGGTTGATAGTGATGAATCAGGGGCTGCAACAGCTGATCTGACAATCCCTGTATCCCCCCGATCTGTCATGGTCCTAGAACGACCGCTACCATCATGACACTGAAATCTGCCATTCTCCACCCATTCGTGCTAGTATCTTCTAATCGCCGCATCATTTCGACTCATATAACAAGTGATTCTCAGATTTGCCCAACCTGCCTCTCTCAACACAATGATACGACCTCTTTCAAACTCTGACAGTTGCTCGCAATGAGCCTGAATCCTACGATGAGGCATTTTTTTCAGTTGTTGAAAGGTATCCTAAATCGCAATGCCACAGAAATTTTTAACAATAGTTCAAGAACAGCTCCTTATATACATCTGCTGGATTTTCAGTTCCAATGTGCTGCAGATTGCACTATTAATTCATTGGACACCAAATTTTAATCATTTGCATATTTGATCAAAACATTTATGCATACGAAATTTCAAAGCAATCGGATGATTCCTTCTTATGTCGATTTTTTTGCTATAGAGTGTATATATGCATGTATAAATGTATGTATGGATATATGTGTATGAATATACAGAAACTTAGAGCATTTAAAGTTAAAAGTAAATTATAATAAAAGCAAAGTCATTCCTCAACAATATTAATAATTGCATCCTTGTATAAGAGGTTTAACACAATATCTAAACAATTCAAAATTAAAAGGATCACAGTAGTACAAACTCGAAAGCTAAAAAAGCAAAATGGAAAAATATGCAAGAAACCAAAATATAAAAATTAATCTCCTTTTACTGAAACTTCAATTCAGACCTCATTACAGGAAAATGAATTATAGCTTCATAAAAGTTGATTAACATGCTTCGAAAACGTGTTTTCTTTCTCCTGGTTCATTTAAGATCAAAAGCCAAAAAAAAAGAAATTTTGGTACTTTTCCGTTTCGCCGGCACAAATCTCGCCAAGCAGACTTTATTGGCGATAGCACACAATATACACATAAAAACTTTTAGTTCTAAGAATTTTTTATTTTGAAGGCATAAACATATTAATATGATTTAATTTCAAGTTAAATCTTAATCTGAAATAAAATTTTAAATGCTAGAATTATTTGAATTCGTACGAATAGCTTACTCAGAAATTATGTAAAACCACAGTGCTTTAATTCGCTAGTGCACTCTCATTAGAACTGATGAATTCAACCCTTAATTTTGCCTTTCCTATATTTTCGCCTTCGGGTGAGCGGTATGATTGCATTCTAATTAGCTTAATTACTGCAAATGGTCTTAGGTTATAAAATTTAACTATCTTTTTTAAAAATTCTATGTAATTGCATGCCAGTATTGAATGAAACAATCAATCTGATAAGAAATGGCTGCGACTTGTTTTGAAAATGAAGCGTAAAAGTTTACCAGTGAAGATATTCCGTTTGGTATCAGTTGTACCATTATTGGAGACTTTATCGTTTGCCCCCAGAAAAACGGAAAAGTACCCAAATTTTTAT